AAGAAACTTGTTTAAAATTTAAAAATATATTTATATTATTCAAACTCAAACTAGTTTGCAAACTTCAAATCAAACTTAAATCAAACTTTGTATGAAATTTGGGTTTGAGTTTGATATTTTTCAAACTTTTATAAAATTTATAGTTTGAGTTTGGTTTGATTTGGGGTTTAATCAAACTTAAATCAAACCCGGATCAAACAACAGAACCCTAGTTATTGGGAATCGTTCTGGTGAAAATTCTGATTTTGTTTCCAACAAGGCATATTGTGCGACTATAAGTTTGATGTATTGCATTGGAAGTTTCTTCCTCTATTAGACCTGTTCTGAGGTTCTTAAAACTAGTTTGAGAGAATTGTGCTCGTTTATTTTGCCAGGTGGCGTCATTAAAAAATTTTGTTTCCTTATTCTTTGCTTTAATAACGTCTTTGAGTTTGTTAGCAAATAAGGGTTCCACTTTTGTTCTTGACTGGTGTGTGGGGTATATGCATTTAATCATGTGTTCTTCACATTGTTCACTGATATAAGATAGGGAGTCCAGTAATAGGGTTCTTGATAATAGAAGTGATATTTCCATATATTCCCAGATTTCCAAGGCTTCTTTATTCTATGGATCTGGTTTTGTTTGATATAGGGTGCGAATTGCATTATCAAGTAGCCTGAGTGTAGATGAGGTACGATATAATATGCATTGTAAGACTTTCTTTACCTCTTTTTGTATTCGTTTCACCAGTTCTTTGTCCATGGGTGGTGGCGTGAATTTGATAAAAGCATTTTGGGGAAAGGTTTGAAGAATGTGCTGATGTATTTCATTTGATAATTTTTGTTTTTTATAAATTTTTGTGGGGAGTTTGCCCATCTCTCCCATTGGAATAAAGGATACATTATTTTCATTAGAGATGTTCTGTTCCTCATCTGAGACCTGTTGTTGTTCATAATTGGTCAAATTTTGAATTATATCAGTATCTAAGTCAGTCATTAATATGAATTAAGGAATATAAGAACTTTGGGTTGTTCAAAATTGTGGACAGCAAACCAAAATAAAATAGCCTAAAGATCAATTAGAAATGAATAGTCTTAGATATATAAAAATCATATAATGTAATACATGACTCCACAATTGGATGCAAACCTAATAAAATAGGCTAAGCCACATGATCTGCAATTCACTTATGAACAAAGTTTATTTGTGATTTTGTAAGCCCGAACCTCTTCACCTTCATTATTAATTTTCTTTTCAAAATATTTGCTAGTGAATGATAGCTCTTTACTGTTGTGTTTTTTCTTTTTTCTTGGGTTATAAGCTAAAATAAATTTATAAAACTATTAATATATTAGTTTTATATTTAGCCTTTATTATATTATATTTTAACACCTTTTTCTTTTTCTAAAAGTATAGCAGAAGAGTGAACTATTATTTGAATGCCAGGTTTTGTAACTGTTAGATAAACAAAAGATCTCTGGCGAGACTTCTGAACTTTTTTCAGATTCGAAAATATTATTGCCATGATAATGATCAGAATCATATTCCATATCATAGTTTTCTATTGTGATTTATACATGATACTCAAAAAAAAAAACTAACAAATATTTAAATTGTTGGGTTTTTAAAACAAACTGCTTTATTTGCAAGTCTATTAATTTTATTTATTGATTATTAATTTTACATCATATTTTACAAAATTGATTTATCTATAACTAACAATTCTATGATAAGTACATTAAATCTATTGCCAGAAAACCAAGAAACAAGATATTTGCCTAACTAAAAAACTGAGCAGGATATATATTTAAACTTGGCACAAACATTTTCATCATTTTTATTAGCATGCCAAAGAATAGCATAACTTAATTAATATCAACTTTGCTGATAATTAAAAAAAAGAAAAAAAAAAAAGATAATTAATTTTAAATTTACATGTGTTTATTCATTCTTATACAAACTAAAGTCACAGAAATGCTAACAGTTTATACAATTTTTTTTTAATATAGTAATAGTGATCTGGATACTGTATTAAAAAATCAATTGATTCAGAAAATCTATTATAGCTATTTCTCCATATGTAGTTAATCAGAAACATATGTGTAAATTGAAAAACTAATTGAGAAATATCAGGGATATAACAAATATATAAGAGCATGTCCAATTTTGAGAATAAGGTTTGAAATTTACAAGTTTTTTGGCTTAAAAAAATAAATAATATGTAATAATAAACAAAAAAAAAAAAAAATTTAATTCAAATACCTGACAATATAGAGCTTTATAACTTAGAAATAATTAATATTTAATTAATTCAATATTTTAGAATTGAAATGTTTAATAATAAAAGCTAGTGTTTGATAATTATTCTTGTTCAATACAAAAACACATTTCTTATTGTAATAAGTCTGACTTCATTTTTTTCAGATTTGGAATTTTCAAACAAGTTATATACTTTGCAGAACTTTTAAAAAAATAAAAATATAACAAAAATATATTAATTATATTTTAAAAATATTTATGCTAACT